TTAACGACGTCCGATTCGCAAAACCTTTGATGTTTTCGGACAAGCAAAAAATCATCATCATTATAACCTGAACAGTTTTTTGGAAACAAAATCAGTGTTCACTATTTAGCGGACTTTACTTTACAAGGTAGTGAATTCTAAAAAAAAAATCGAGTATTGAATTTAGTTCGTTAGTTTCATTTTGATGTGTTACTCTCATTATAAACCTTGAAGATGGAGAGCTTGTCCGAAACTGGTCGGCCGACATAAAAAATATATTATTTTTGAAACATTTACTAGAAGAAAAAGGATAAATTATTAAATATTGGTCATTTGATTTTTAAATAAATCACTTTCATAGATGCTTAATGTCTTGTATAAAGTGATATTAAAGAATTCGACCAACAAAATTTTCAATACATTAGAGTAAAAATTTTTGTAAGATCTGACAGAATTTATAGATTTTAGAACATTTTAGTTTTTGATCTCTTTTTGAAAATTGATGACGTCATATGTAGAAATTATTAAGTACATGTTTGTCAAGAAATATGTTGTGATATTTTTTGTCTTTAGTAATTTGCTATTCTTGCGTCTATATACCGAGGCAAATCTGCTTTTACTTGGTTTTCGGGTTCTGCTAATTAAAGAGATTTATTTGGTGGGAAAACGACGTATAATATGACCATTACAAGTAACGATTTAGTTTAAAGCTAAAGGCACATCTGACCTTATTCAAATACCCATATTGAAGGAGTACTATTTACATATATTTACATTTATCCTTATCAAACACTCGATGGCATTATCTCAAAAGATATCCAATAAATTTGTAGTGAAAAGTACGCCTCGGCCCTTGAATATGATAGGAAAATTTTAATATTTTAGAATTCTTGCATAAAAAAATTGAACATATTTACAGATTTTTATCGATTGCTTCAGGAAAGCTATATTAAATTTTCATTAAATTATTGCCGTCATTCAAACAAAATTATTTAGTAAACCTTGTCTCAAATGATTTAGTTGCAATTTAATACATTTCATCGTTGGTTTTGACACTGATGACTTTCAAGTATCAACAATTTATTCACGAGATGGTATATTTTGTGAAATATTGCAAAAACTACTTATTAGATTTCACCCAAATTTGTAAGATTGATTAATATGTATATACCACTCCCTCCAAACAATTGATGACGTCATTTTATTAAATTATCTGATAAATTCAGTATTTCTAAAAAATAGTTCATACAGACAAAAATTCTGTTTCTGATCGTTTTTGAAATATTGTCAAAAATCGTTTTTTTTTTTGTAAGACGTTTACTTATGAATCGATTGTAATAAAATTTTGCTATGACATCTAGTGAGTTTAAAATCTGTATAAAACAATTGTAGAATTCCAAAAATAACGAAAAATTGGAAATTGATAGCCACTAACAGATTTTACTTTTATGTTTTTAGCTTATTTTTCTGTTGAATCATGTTTCTGTCAATATATTCGATGAAAAAACTGTAACTTGTTGACTTTTACTTTTTTTGAACGTAGGTACTTGTTAAAATTATTCATACCATATACGTCTTGTTGCTTGGCCCTCTAACATAGTTCGAAATTAAAACGCCCTCGCAGTTGATCATGATGTCGGTACAACCTCTGTAATCATAATTCCTTGACTTTGATATCGTTACTTTCACTGTATGCTTGCACAATATTGGTTTACTGAGAATTTTCAAAATTCGGTCAACTGCAGAGAAGATGTTATCTGTTATAATGAAATAATTACAAATATGGTTATATTCTGTTCATATCAAGAGAGAAATGTAGACGCTTGTAAGCAAGGATTTACGTTTCACTGGTTTGACATTTGATTGCAGAAACTCTGTATATCCCCATAATTCTGCTTACTTTCAACAATGTCATTAGCTATTACACCTAAAGTTATCTCTCTCCGTTCTACATTTGGCGATACTGCTTTAACAACTGGAACCCAGCGAAGTATGTCACATAAATAGCAAATATTACGATTTTTATTTTCACAATTTAGACATTTTTATCTTCATCGATTGAATTTATGATTTTATGAAATGTACCCAAGTGTTTACTAAAAACCACGGATTTTAATTTTATGGATATAACAAACGGTTTTGTGATAATTTAGCAACATGATATTAGAAAAAGTTTTTTATTACCTACTTTATTTTGATTACTTTTATTATTTATTTTATTGTTTCTTATATCCATATTTATAAAGGAAATTCATGCGCTCGGTTAGATTAGCAAAACCAATAATGAACCACATACTTATTATAACGGTAAAAATCTGATTAGTTCGGTCCATCTTCATCTCGAATTGTATAAACGCAAAACATTAACCAGATCGAGCGCTACATCAATCATACTCAACAAATAAAAAACGGAAATAAGAATTATGATTGCTGACATGGTAGTCACAAAATTTTAGTGCTCGCAATAAATACAAGCCAATTCATCGAAGTCCGGATCACGAGAAGGAATATTTTTTACGAACTCTCGTAAAAATTAAGATTTTTCCATAACCCTGCATTTTTCTTAATGCCGCAATAAAAATGCCCAGAAACAGAATTAAAAATCGACAAAATGACACTAAACGAAAGTGCAAACGGCGACTTGTCACATAAATTCCAATTAGATTTCAATATCGTATTTTATTATGGCCGCGTTTAAACATCCAAGAATCACAAAAAGAGATATTTTACAATTAACCCGAGACACCCGTTCGCAATCGGGTAGGGGAGACGTGTGAACGCGTGGACACAGCGCCGAATTCTTCATTTCCATGTTAATCCGGCCATTTTAGCTCCGACAAGCGCTGCATGCTTTGCACAAAAGGACAAGTCTGCATAATTCTCCGGAAATTACACAGTCACTTGGATTTCCGGAAACGTCCCGGAAACAAGGAGCTGTCGGAATTCCGACGAAGACGAACACGACGAACACGGTTTTGGAAATTTTTTGCCGTTTTTTGTCGGCGCTGACTCCATCAAAATCACTACTTCTAGTCGCTTTTTAATAATAGGTACGTTCAGGCGTGGGTGTCTCGCTTTCTGTAAGTCGAAGGTGAAGGCATAAAAAATCCTAACAGTTCTCGAAATTGATGTACATGGTTTTGTGCACGAACATCAACAATAAGAGTGGTATTATAATGATATATGAGCCGTACTTGTTCACTAACACTCGTGGTGTGCTCAAACGGTTTTGGAGAGTCGGAGTGAGGCACAGAAGTTTGTTATTAGCTGTCCGAGTCTTGTGGGTGGTACTCGATGGTGGGGCCCTGGAACACCTCCTTCAACAGGCTCGGTTTGACCATTTCAATTAAAATTTGCATATTTTCGTATTTATCTCTAAGCGCAAGACAATAAATTTGCGGTTTTTTATTTTTATCTAACGTTTGCGTGGAGAGCGTGGCGACGACTTCGGCAAACACCAAATACCAAGGCCTATCTTACCTACGATCTCGCTACACTAACAAAAAAAGAAATTACCTAAAACGAGTGAGAAAATTTAGCGCTTCGTCGCACCGTCATTTTGGACGATTTTCAAAACTCGTGTAAACAAAACGTCTCTGATTTAAAATTTTTTTCGCAAATGATAAATGTCGGTTATTTATATTAATCGGAAGCGAGTTTTAATTGTCAGTTATGAATCAAGGAGACCTCTGGTGAGGGTTTGTCGAACGCGCGAAGACGTCCTCTGGCGTTGTCTAGCCACACTTGAAGACGCCGGAGGAAGGATAGCGTTATCTAGTTCGTCCGGTGTGTGTCAGATGGCGGCGGCGTCTCCTCTATTTATAAACCCGAACCCGCTAGTGATCGAAATGCCATTTTTCCAATTCTACTAATAACGATGGCATCAATTCCGGTAGCTATTAAACCAGTTATTCGAAAACAAAATTGTATTAAAATTTCATGCATAATGCATTCCATCGGTTCTAAACCCCAAATGTTATCCTGAACCAATTAGTTTGATGTTTTTCATAATGGAAATTTAAACAGACAATTTGTTTTGACGAGGGGTCATCGACTTTGGGGGTTTTCTGAGGGAAATATTCCAACAAAGCGTCGCGCTTGATTGCCTAATTAATTTTGCTAATTTGCTTATTCTCTACCGCTGTTTATTTTTTCTTCTTCTTGGTGTTAAACCAGTGATTAATAGTCTCGTCTACAAAACAATATTTACATTTTACAAGCTGCCGTCTCGTATTTTCCTTGATGGGTTTGTTTTTGTTGTAAATAAGAAGCGCGGAAATTTCTGGTGGTATAAAATTAAGAAGCGGCTATTTTTGTGGAATTAAAACGATTAGCTCGGTTTGAATCAGCACAACAGAATGAAATTCTCAATAAATTCTCAAGTCCTAAATATTTTGCGAGCTACCTACATACTTTCAACGATTTAACTACTTCGAATAAAGATTGTGTTTATAATTAGGGGAACTATGCGGATTAAATTTAGCGAGGAGGATGTCGAAGGCTTTGACGAGGTGAAGTAATACCAAGGAATCGTAGAAATTACGGATTACAACGGCCATACGAGCCATGTTAAGTTATTTATTTTTAGACCCACTTCTGGCATGAAATAGTCTGGCGCTGCTACCATGTTCCCTTTTAATACAGCTAAACCCCAACGCCTGTGATTCTCCAACATTCGTACAACATAAATAAAGGCAAAAATTCCGCTGTGATTATTAATCGTTGTAGATTGTTAGTTAGTGTCGAGTGCTGTGATATTTTCGCAAAATGATGTCCAGACATGGAAAAAAGCACCACCATCATCATCACCACCACCACCACGAGCGCCGCCACCACTACATCCCCTTCGGAAGGAACCGGCGGGTAGGCTTTCGCTACAAACCCAAAATTCCCCAGCTAATCTTAGCTGAAGACATTTTTATCGCACGGCTGACGTGTGGGTCGACTAGTAGACGTCAGTTTGTCTAACGAATTCCCTCCAAATATTTATAACCCAGTTTCAAATAAGCCCAAAATAGACCAAGTGTTTGCCCAGCACGTGATCGCGCCAATTGTAAACTTTGCAGGTGCACACCTGTTTTTGCTCCGTCCGTATACACAAGAACGGTTTTAGTTTTTATGGCCGGCAAAAACATGCTATCATCAATGAAATTAACGTTGATCGATAGATGGGCTAGTTTCTTTCATTCATCGACGGCGAAGAAGTTTTGTTTGGGGCCTCGTCCCGAAGAATTCCTGCTGCCAGCAGGAAAACAAACAAGTGTCGGCAGGAAGACGTAAAGTCAAATACGACACACCCCCAGTGTGTCAGTTGTTCGAATCGATACTTGCGCTTGCGTGGCTCGACAACCCCACCTCGTGAAGCGTGTACAGTCAAAAGCTCAAAGCTCTACCCTATATGAAACGCGAGCTTAAAATGCGGCACCGACTATACTCAACCTAGCGGCGTTCACCCGCATTACACTACGTATATTCTTGAGCAAAACATTACTTTTCCATTCAGAAAAGTTGTTCGTGTCATAAATATGGTTAATGTGGCGTTCGCCGGTGATTTGTGACGTTTTGCTTCGCGAAGATTTGGTGGTTAAGTGATACTGGGGCTTATCTAATCGGACTGGAGCTTTCGGACAGCGGATAATCACACAACTCCATTAGTTTCCCACGAGCACTCATTTACGAATGCACCTGATATCGTCGAATTATTGCCTAAGTCTGCTTCTACTTCGTTGTAAAATTTAGATACTCGAATCCTGTCGTTGTTGGATGGTGCACACGGATGTGTCATTGAAATGTCGCAATATGATAGGATACAACAATTTCAACAATCAGGGATACAATAAACTGTTTACTCAGGTAAGCAGCAGCTATTTCCATCGCCAGTCAAAATCTCGTTCGTTACAAATACCTGCATAATTACTACCGAAACTGGCCAATTCTTGAAATTCCGCAGCGATAATGACAATAATCGCTTTAAATTCTGTACGCACGATATATTTTACGTCATTGTGACGTCACGATGGTTAACCATCGCTTTTTGTTGGTAAACATTGCAATGTGTACTCGATTAAACTAATTGGACGAGATGTAGTCTGTCACCACGCGAGGCCAAAATTTTTGACCAACCACGAAGATTTCTCTCATTCACACTTTTAATAATTCAAAGCCAACTCCGTCCACCAGAAGCGACGCTCATGTTCGAAATAACAAGTCCCTTTCCTTCCCCTTTCAGATAAAAATCCTGCTCCTGCCGAATTTATCGAGCCACATAAAGGTTATCGGGTTTCTTCCTCGGAAAAGTTTAAAATTTCACTCGCAGATTTTATGTGGGTAGTTTTTGAATTTAGCGGAAACCAGTTGATACCGGAAACAGGTAACCTGATTTCCCCGGAGAATATACGGCTGAAACATGACTACTCTTTTGTGCATGTTTCATAACCACCACGTTTCCGCAATATGTGTAATTGACAGCAATTCTAATCAGATTTGCCGGATACATTCTATCGATCTAAAATTCTATGCGAGAATTCCATAATGTGTGCTGTAAAAATATGTAAACGCTTTATTAACCAATAAACTTGCGCTGGTTTCCGTTGCTTAACAAACTCTGCTTTTATTATACTCCAAGTCATTAAGAAATTCTTTGACGAAAATTCGCTGCACCACCTACGTAACCAAAGCAATAAAAACTTAACATGATTGTTTTATATTAATCTTTAATAACGCGACTTTACGTCTACGCGTGCGCACAATGGAATTTTTCTTGGCGCCATTATTATGAATGCCGTGTAATAACCTTTTATTGTATACGAGACCGTATTAGTATTTTAGTTCGCAAAGTGCTGCGGTCAAAATGAGTGCCTTTTTCGCCAGCGCGGTGGGTACAGCTCACACCGTTGTACAGTCAAAAAAAGATGCCAAAATTAAAACAAAGACTTGTGGTTATTAGGAAAATCAATTGGGTTGATAAAGATATCTAAGAAATAACGTAAACGAAGGTAGCAATTAGTTTCTGCGTGATAGCCACAAGTCATCGTTTCGTTGCTTCTTGTGGAGCTCCAGCAGCCCCATTTCTTGTCGATTTTAGCGTAAGAACACCCTTAATAATTCACTCGAACTCGCGAAATGAATGGCCACGTTGGGCACTCTGCCAGGGCAAGTCGTGACCTGTTTAAACCTAACAACCCCAACTATCGTCGTGCAGCTAAATACATATTTAGTATGTTCGCGACCGGAAAAAGTGCGCTTCGTGCCTAAAAGCAGCCGAAAAAGTTTGAAATTAGTTTCCGCAACTCTGGCGCATTTTTGTCGAGTGTCGGAGGGCGTAATTAGTGGGACCTGCAATGTGAATTATAAGTTGCTTTAATGATTGTAGTGGGAAAACTTCCATCACGCAGTGAAAACGTTCCGAAAGTATTCCCATTTGTGTCAATTGTTATATGTTATGATGTTTGTCTTTAATAGAGTGTGTCCCTTAATAATGTTACCTGTTATGCGGGGTAATCAAAACAACTAACGGTTTTGTACCTTTTGGTTACCTTGTAGAGGCATCAGTAAGTAACATTTTGAGGGTCACTGGTCGGCTGAAGCCTTGTAATATTGTCGCATGCTTGCCAGTGGCACCGCAACTAACCTATGTCCAAGTACACATCTCTGGTAAGACATTAAAAGTTTATGGTCCACTGTTATGAATTTTCTAGCTGCACCCTGACGTAATCATGTGCTTGGCTTTCTGTTTCGCTTTGATGAATTTGTCTTTATCAACATGCAAGTGCCATCTTTGTAGATTAGCTACAGCTTTAGAAACCTGCTAAGTGAGGTCAAGTCGCTTAGTTACACCGCCATAGTTTTCTTTAAACAGATAAGCACCAACAACAGACTCGTAGGAAATTAGAACACTATCCACACTCATTGACAAGATTAGATTTATAATTTCATCAATGTGTAGTTTTATCTATTCATATATTATGAGGTTCATATTTACCATCGATATCGCTATCATTCATCGTCATCATCTTCATTAGGTGCCATTTAGGTGCTAGAATTAGCTCATGATTTCATATTTTTCGGGTTTTGAACAGGTGGAGTAGTAATTTTGTGTTTTGCAGGGCTCAGCTGATTCTAACTACTCTCAGCCTTCTTCGGATCTGTCGCTGGACGAGGAGAAAGAGACGCTGCGACGGGAGAAGGAACGCCAAGCGCTTAGCCAGTTGGAAAAAGCAAGGGTAAGAAAGGTCTCATACATAGTTCGTTTAGTGTCATCAACTGACGGCTGCTACAACTTCGATCGACTTATAAGAAATTACATGACTTAAGTCACAGACACACTTATCTCTTTGATAATTTTCGATTCTTTGACATGTTAATTCATATATATTTAAACTTAGATCATTTGAAGATAGTCAAAAGAGAAAATCTAAGGGGCTACAAGACGCCTTTAAGTTATTGATCTTGGATTCCGATCTAAAGTAGCTGCAGGTAAAATAGCGTTGTGTTTTTGCGATAAATTTGTAAACTGTACAAATGCGTTGGCTTAACAAATGGTTCCGAAGGGGATACCAAAAGTAAACATAACACAGGGACTGTTGAGTGATTTATTTATAAATAAGGTACACCAGCGTTTATGTCTGAAAAAGACAATTTTCCAGTGTGTTCATCTAATTCCATGATTTTTTTAAATAGATTTTAAGTTGCAAAAATGAAAATGTTTTCCAGAACAATTTTATTGAAATTAGGCGTTGTTGATGCAGAAGCTGTCTAAAAAAATGTTTGTAAAGTAAAAGTGACAAAAATCAAGACGAATTCATTGACCACTAGTACAGGAATAGAATATATTATTTCTGAGGGGACGGAAAATTGCAATTTATTTATTTTTTTTAAATACTAATACTAATTTTAACTCAATTACACTAATAAATTACAAAAGATATCTCTGGAAAGTACCGCCAACGTGAAACAACTTTGTTCGTCAGTCTTTGTTGCTTTATTTACGGTTAATAATAGAACTTTGAGTATGCTAATATTGTCTGGTTATTCAGAAATTATTAGCTCAACTTCATAAACAGAAACACAATGTAGCGTATTACCAGGAAATCAGCTGATCACATAATACACAGTAATTTCTACATACATTTGTGCGGGAAATAGGCTTCATTTTAAAATTCTGGCCGTCCGCCAGTCTGTGTGTCTGTTTATACAAGCCTCGGAAATATGAGAGCTTTGTAGGAAGTTAATCGATTCTCAGGAAATTTTGTACAAATACACCTACTATTCTTACAACACTTGACATTAACCTTCTGTATAACGCAAGATTATTTTGAATTTCGTAAACATGTTTTTTTTTTGTTTCAAGCGCATATTTTGATTTTCTCTACACTACTATTAATAATCGCTAACTTCAAGCTCCATGATTCACAAAGAATAATATTTAAAGTGACTAAGCTAATTTTCGCAGTGTTAGCAAAACCTGTCGCAAGTGTATATACAAATCCACATCTAATTAGTTATTGATTAGCGTCGGCTACAAAATTATGGAAACCGTAAATATTTTAACACTCACGATCCTCAACGAAACCCACTCAACTATTTCCATCACAAACACACAACCCAGAAAACCGGAAATTACCCAGGGTTTAAAAAAAGCGGCCGATAAATGCCATCTTCATCTTTAGATCCACAACCTTGCACGCCGGGTGGAACTTATTTTAGGTTCACCACTAGTGCCCTACTTAATAAACATTTGAACATGTCACTGATCAAAAGCTCTTTGATCTATTTGTGGCGCAAAGGTAACACAGTGAACAAAACTCGAATAAACAAAAACATCCCGTTAGTCGTTATTTGTAATGCAATTAGCTCTTGCAAGCCGGCAATAAAACGCTTTTAATACCGCCGTCTGTTTCTCGTCCATAATTCACGTCTTCATCAGTAGATTTAATCGAGTGTTAAATTTTTCATTGGTCATTTTTAGACGAAACCGGTAGCATTTGCTGTCAGAACCAACGTAGCGTACGACGGTTCATTGGACGACGATTCTCCAGTCCATGGGTACGCGATTTCTTTCGAAGTTAGGGATTTTTTACACATTAAGGTGAGACACCATCGATCTATGGTTGCTTCTGCCTTGAAAGTAGGTCTAACTCGTCTGAATTTTAGGAGAAGTACGACAACAGTTGGTGGATCGGACGTCTGGTGAAGGAGGGTTGCGATATTGGGTTCATTCCTTCTCCGGTAAAGCTCGAAAATCTGAGATTACAACAAGCGCAGTCGAGGACTACTAAACTCTACTCAAGTAAAACAAGTTCCAGCTCTAATATAGGGGCCGCTGGTAACGATGTTTCCAGAGGTAGCACTCCTCCCACGCCTGGTATGTCCTATCCACACTCACTGCAGCGGGTTTTGATGTTTTAGTATTCGTGTTCTCGGTGTTTTTTCTTTGGTCAATTAATGTTTTATGTTGTCACACTTTTTTATTCGATGTTGATGAGAACAAACACAACGACACACTGACGAAATACAACCAGTTTTTTTGCAGGTGGTTCAGTTTTATTGATTTGGTTTTATTTGGTGGCACGTTCTGATTTATTAACTGTGTTTAATTTTATTGCAGCATCTGACACTCTGTTGTAACTACTGTCTAACTTTCTGCATCCAGTCCAGTGAGACCTTATCAAAGACTCCCGTCTGCTCTTCCGACTCCTGTCAATTAGAAAGTAGCAGTAGATTAGAGAATGTAGATGTTATAGAATAGTCAGTCAATGGTGTTAAGAGTGTCTATAACCCAAAGCTCTACTTACTAGAGTGATCGTTTTAGGAGACGAGTCTGATTCGGTGGGTAACGCCCGGACAGCCAAGTCTCTCACCACCCCTCCAGCAAAGGAGAAGAAGAAACCTTTTTTTAAGAAGCAGGAAGCCACTGCTCCTTACGACGTAGTTCCCTCCATGAGGCCAGTAGTTCTAGTAGGTCCTTCGTTGAAAGGATACGAAGTAACAGACATGATGCAAAAAGCCTTATTTGATTTTTTAAAACATAGATTTGAAGGAAGGTCTGTACTTCGACGCCAATTGAAACCCGAATCTATCTGCACTGTTTCAGAATTATAATCACGAGGGTAATGGCGGATATATCTTTGGCAAAACGTTCACTTCTAAATAATCCTTCAAAAAGGGCGATTATGGAACGTTCCACAACTCGCTCAACATGTTTGTCAGAGGTCCAAGCAGAAATCGAAAGAATATTCGAGCTAGCTACAACTTTACAACTCGTGGTGCTGGATTGTGATACTATAAACCATCCTTCGCAACTTGCCAAAACTTCATTAGCTCCATGTATTGTCTATCTTAAAATAACTAGTCCTAAGGTAAAAACCGATTTGGCGATTTTTCGACCTACGGTTCTTGCTTTTAGGTTTTGCAAAGGTTAATCAAATCTAGAGGTAAAAGTCAAGCGAGACATCTAAATGTACAAATGGTCGCGTCAGAAAAATTAGCTCAATGTCCTCCGGAAATGTTCGATGTGATCTTGGATGAAAACCAATTAGAAGATGCTTGCGAACACATAGCCGAATATTTAGAAGTGAGTGATTGTGGTTTTTGGTTTGGTGATGGTGAGTTTTGGGGTTTTAGGCTTATTGGAGAGCTACACATCCTGAAACAAATGTTTCCAATGTACCTCGACCAATGGGTACTTCACCACAAGCCTCTCCTAGTGGGGACCAAGGCAGACCCACCCTACCAGGTACAGATTTCATCCGATTCTTCACATGTACTAAACAATCTTGATCCTCCTAAGTGCCAGACGTAACTCTCATATGTTTGGCGCTTATGATCTACTCATCTAACTTGTAATCTACAGTATAAGTTCGCAGAAATAACTCACTAACAGCTAACGAATTTCTTACAGCACACCATGATGTATACGGATACTCTCATGATTCTAGAGGTAGTCACGCAGGTGTTAGATACATAGGGTTGCAAAGTTGGGACTCAGTAGACTCTCTAGAATCACTTTCTTTCTTATAAACCACTGCATGATTGTCTTGAATAATGCATCAACTGTTGTTGTTTCTGATTATTGTATTTCGCATAACTTAGCTTAGTTGCATTTCAACTTCCATTATGTGATAAATGATTGTGAAGCTACAAGAGAACCATGTTATTACACATTTTAGTTTGCTAACTATGATTAACATTATGTGTAACTCGTGGGTCCAATATAAGAAATGTGATGATGAAATAAATCTGTTGTTGAATCAGAGTTTCTCTTTACTTTTATTTTTAACTATTTTTCAGATTTTTCCGGGTCAATGACACCGATTCCGACTAATTATGTAGACTAATGTAGAAATTCATTCTTTCAAGCAGGTTCAGTTACCTTTCTGCACGGTTTTAATATTTTTCTTTTCTTTTTCTTTTCGATGCTTCGCTACTTCTACCTAACTGCTACGCTTTTGCTATTATTGCACTAAAAAACATCAGGCGAAGTAACACCGAGTCCTGGTAAAATTTGGCGCGCTGGCTCCACTGACTTATTTGCTTAGAGCTGATTCAGTTTTTGTAAGTAAGTTTGAGGTTGAGTAGTTTTAGACTTTCACCGAGTTTGGTTTGTCTAATCAGAACGAGAAAACTGTGGCTGTGGAAAAGTTTGCAAGTTTTGTATGTTTTGCCTGCGACTGAATGCCTTACGACGATTTGATTACTGATGTTGATTCTTGTGTGACAGTTCCCACATTTCATACGGCGCACGCGAGAAGTAGACCGAGGTTAGAGAGAGAACGTGAGTATGAAGATTACGGTGAGAGAGAGAGCTATGCCCATGCGAACACCCATGGAGTACCCCATCACGGAGGTGACGATTACCGAGATCGCAACCTGGATCGGATACCTCCGAGAGACCATAGAGCCACGAGGGAGGAAGAGTACCCGACACATAGAGGATCTTCGAGGAGAGCTCTCAACGCCATATAGTGGAGGCTTTCTACGGAACAGCCAATTGAAGAGGAAATTCATGATGACCTTTCTCCTAGGGCTGAAACATACTACAAACCTCAGATTCCTAAAGAGTACAGGGACGACAGGGCCGACAGGCGCTTGGATGACGTGAGAGTGGACGAGAGGAGAAGGACGGAAGAAGACAGGAGATACGGTGAGAGGAGTAGGTATCCTGAAGATCACAGGTTCGACGATAGGAGGTACGTGGAGGAGAGGAAAGCGATAGAGAAGAGCAAGCAGGAGGGCAGGAACTACAGGAAGGAGCTGTTGGAGAGGTTTGCCGATATGGACTTCGAGGAGCATCATGACTTCCGAACACATCAAAGATACTACGAATGAATCTCTTAGATAATAAAAAGATTTGGCCTAAATTACTGAAATTGTGTACAAATATTCGGAGTATCTTTGATGCATTCTTCAATGGGATGTTTCGTAAATGTGATTAATCCTTAATATAAACATTAAAAATTTTGACCAGTTTGGTGCCATATTTGAGTAATAGCTCAATTTTTAATCAATCTATTATTGAAATAGAATATTCAAGCTTTAAACTGTAGCTATACTTAGGATTTTTAAATTTATTTATAAGGAATGGTATATTGTTGAAAGCCGTATAAATTTATGTATTTTATATATTGTAAAATAGCTTAAAAAAGAACTGAGATATTATACTTTAAACGGAAAGTGTACTCTGTACTGAGTGGTTATACCGTTTTGTTGCTTTTTACTTCATAGTTTCATGATACCTACGTGATATTAATGACGTCAAGTATTTGACTGAATCTAGGAAATCTAGTCAAGTTGAAGTTTGTGCACTGCTGTTAGAAATGTTATGAGAAGTAGATAAAACATGCATGAGGCATCGAGGCTTTTGAAGATTAGTTATGAATCCATGATAAACCGTATAAGATATCGTAATATTTTTTAAATAAATTACTAGGATATTTTCAGTATTTTGTCACCTACGCGTATTAGTTTTTTCATTACAAATAATGTCGATGACAATCAAACGATCTGTTAATTTAGTGTTAGTTTAGATGGATTTTGACACCACACGACATATTCTAAAACATCCTTAGTTAGAATCTGGTATTAGTTTGTAGAGTAATCAGGACGTGTACATAATTTACGTTGTTAGGATTGTAGGTGATGAGAAAACTGAAAATAAATAGGCTTTACAAATTGTACATTTCGAAACTGCATGTGCCACTATAGTGGTAAATATCACCGACCAATTTCACTACACAAAACAAAATATTTGTATAGTAGTAGATCTGTGAAATCCTTTTAGGTTTTGCACTTGGCCCTAACAAAGTTACAACGACATTATCATTGTTTAATTAGTGCGGTGAACGTTTTACAAAATGAACCTTTGTAACTTTGTTAGTTGCAGTTTCTTTTTGCTAGTAAACCTAGACCCGGTTTTCTTTACATATTTTATTGTAATTAGAGTTAAAATACTTATAACAAGGTTTCATATGCTGTTGATATTGAATGAGTCTATTGATATTTCAAAATACAAGTAATTAATATTTAAATAAAAAACTAAAATTTGATACATTGTAAATAGCTATTAAATATTGAAAGATCTATGCTACTGATAAACTATTGTTTTTCGATTTATATCGATAGCTAGATGATATGTTGAAACAACTTCGTTATTTGTGTATATCAATTTTGTATATAATCTTAGTTTAATACGTTCATCTAAATGCCTTGTTATTACCTATGATTTTTTTTTATATAAGTATCAATTCAAATCATATGAATGTAAGAATATGGTGAAAGGCACTATTGATGTGCATTTTTTCTAAATAAAATACATATATTAAAACGAAACCTAATACATTTTTTACACTCAACACCTAAACAGGGTGCTTAAATCTTACATTTTAAACCCTATATTCTAAATAAAAGTTTCTAAATTATAAGCAAAATCTCCGAAAATATTACCTTAATTGTAGGAAATATTCCTAGATGGTCCTAATGTGAGAATGGAGATTTCCAACCCAGCAAAAAAATAGAAAGGGTTTTAAAATAATCTCCTGAAACTACTCAATTTTGTCTTGATGTGTCTTCTAACGCCTTGATTTTACTCTTCGTATAATTTTTTTTCCCGATTTTTGTTAGTTACTTTACGATTCCTTGGTGCCTATGTTCTCAAAATCTTCTCCACTGCAGTACTACTCTCTCTACTATTTTACACTTTTCCTATTTGGTGTCTACGAATTTAGTACAGCTTTAAACACAGTCATTCTTCCACAGACTCAATTAGTTAAAACACTTATTCATTTGCACCATAAATTTTGATATACATGCTATTCATATCAATCTGTTTCTTTGAAATTCACCTTACAACGTAATACCTAGTTCTGGTAGCATTATACTGTACTAAGTATTTCAGCACAATCCAGGTCTCCAATCCAACGGAAACAATATTTCCAGTTAAGGTAGTTTGGTTGGCTTAGTTTGGGCAGCAAAGATACCAGTAGGGAACGACGACGGCGAAGACACTCTTTAGATATATTTTCTCCACAGTATTTGAATTTATTTGAGAAAATCTTATTCGTACCAAAGAAATACCTACTCCTATGACAAGATGACTTCTCACTTACCAGTTCTTTTATACATATACAGTGTGACATAAGTTATTACACTGAGACGAGAAGTAATAAATTTATTTTATGCAACGGTTGGAACAAGTTGTTTAAAATTGATATAAATATTTTAATCCTTATAATACTTTGTAAATTTCTTTTAAAAATACATATTTGCTAGTTCGACATTTTAAATAAACATATTAAAATAGTTTCAACCACATAGTATGTACATAAATTTTCTATAAAAAAAATATTTACATATAACATTTTTAAAATACATTCAACAATAGAATATAACATTCCTTCTACTCAGGATAAAATAACATTCTTTTTTCTCTAGTTCTCACTTTTCGACGTATCTTTCTGACTTATAGTAGTCGAAACTGAAGCTTCGATATTTTCGTCCCTCTCCTCCTCTTCGTCGATAATACTAATATCTCTAATAGATGGCCTATGACTCCTCCTCCATCCTTCAGGTACTTCTGGAAACTTAGTTTTGGTAAGCAAACGGGGTCCAAGCAATGTTATTAAAATCGCCCCAGTCGGAGCAGTCAAAATAATCGACAAGACACAGACCATCAAAACTTTGTCCGCATACTCGTACTCTAAAGTGTTAGGTCTTGCTATTCCTAAAGTAAATGGACCCAGCGCAGCCTAAAACACATTATTGACCACAAACACAATCACTCACTAAAAGTATCTCACCTGCACTGTAGCTTTAGACATCAAAGCTATCGCCACGAAGCTTTTCTCTTTCAAATTTAGCTTACACCCTATTCCCAGCACAGCTGTAACTACCATCCTCACAACCGCAGAAGCAATCAAGATACCCAACCCGATGGAGACGATATGTGGATCTAATTCATCCAACTTGACTTGAGCACCCGTAATACTGAAAAGAATGGGTTCGAAGATCATCCAGAATATCTCGAAGGCGGTACCAGCAGGATTATCCTCGATCTCCCAACCATGCTTGGACCAAAAATATATGGAAACGAAGGCGGCGGCGACACAACCCAAAGGTCCCGCTCCTCCATACCCGATGAGCTCGCTCCCGAACACAGAAACCATCCCCCCGATCAAAAGAAGCAGGATCCTTAGGGGTACCATGAAGGGGTCGTGTCTCTCGGGGGCATAATTACAAATTAGTCCCCACAGAAAACCGAAACCTATGCCTCCCACGACGGAAATGGGTCCTTGGAGGATTTGGAACGTGAGGGAATCGTTCGAAAACATTATGCTTTTGATTATGCCGAAAACGGCAACGGAAACGGCATCGTCGATACCGGAGATGGCTATAATGAGTGTGGGAATCCCTTTCGCTACGCCGTAGCCTCGGGAGCGTAGCCTGAAGAGGCAAGGGACTACCACTGCTGGAGATACCGCGGCAACGATGCTGCTGAGAAGCCAGGCGTAGTCCCAGGGTAAATCAAGGAAGAAACGGCAAAGGACTGCCACTAATGCGGCTTCTGCGACCCAAGGTACTAAACCTAGTTTGACCACGGCGAATTTGAGGCGTTTGAGGGCGCTGGGGTCCAGGTCGAGACCAGCCCGGATCAAGATAATCACCAGTGCGATTTGTCTGGAATGGGGAGTGTTAGTTATTGTCAACTAAGGTACCTAAGCTCAACGTTGTCACCTTTAGGTCATTTTTCAGATGTTTTTCGGACAATTTTATAAATTCATGTAGAAGACAATATTTGGAGCTTTCAGTTTAGTAAAATAGTCATTAATAATAATGACACGATTTATTATTTGGAAAATAAATAATTATAGACATTTTTGCTCCGAACTCTTGAAAAATCGATTAGCAATGGATGGTAATCTAGCTAGTATATGTATTCTTGGTGAAGCATGAAGATTGTTGATAACAGAAAGACGTTTTCCGGGCTTGGACCATGTTAAATGTGAAAAGAGGTTCGACGTTTCGTCCATTTTCCACGATAACTTACTTCGAAAATCGTAGCGAACTTTCTGCAAATTACCATTGATTCCTCTACTTATGCCCTCTTATAAATATCTAGCAAACATACTAAAAGACTAAGAATCTCTTCACATGTCCTTAATGTCAACTCCTGTCATTAGATCCAAGTAACATTTTAGTAACTTTTATTCACCACATACTTGTTTCCTACTCATTTCTACAAATACGTATCCGGTATAGCAATGGGTTTCTTTCTTTTTTCAGTGTTCTATTTTCATGGAATATTTTGAATAAATCTCGTTAGAATTATCAGATTTGAACAGTCGTAAGATAATATTTTTATCAATGGCTTTGTGACAATGGGACACTTCCAGTCTTCTGGAATCATCTCAGTAATCGGAACCCCGATATCAAATTTGCCATGGAAATCGAAAGTTTTCTTCGTTTTGTTGATGTGTTTTTTTTTTCTTTGGTACGGAGAGGGGGTTATTATATATATACAGGCTGATTTCGAAATATATGCAATAACTGTAACCACGACGTCACGTACCGTAGTAATGTGGCAATATAGAAAAAACAAATTAGAAGTCGAAGGGGGAAACCCCCATGCATCACCCTCGATGCAAAACCACTGATCCACCTTTTGAACAATAGGTGCAAAAATATTCGAATAGAAACGATGTAACCACTTTCAGTTTCAATTAAAACTAAAACCGACTTTTTGCTGGTTATCAGTCGTTCATTCACGTATTCATTCATCGTTAAGGGTGCCGTCTGGAGGCAAAATATCTGCCTGGTCAAAGTGAGAATAAAACGACCCGGGAGATGCTGCCTCCTGTTAGTGAATTGCTAAAATGTGAATAAATGCAGCACCGATCCGTAGAATTCTACATTTTACTGTACGGAAATAAGTTTTAGTACACAAGCCGCAGTGCCTGTCTAGCCATAATAGTTGCAAACAAAACCCGAGTACCTGAATTTACACCCTTGACCGTTCAAAACCCGAAAGATGTAAAACTCACTGATTCATTTTCCTATTTTGACTACAGTTAATTCTTTCCAGTTATTTATTTTGTTTCCGTACTTAAATTGTTTTCGGTAAATATATTAAATATATGTAAATATTAAAGTACCTCCTACTGTCGGGGAATCATCTGTAGATATTTGATTTATTCCTATCAAGGATGTGTTGTTTGTCTGAATTACAGGAACATCATGTAAAGCAAAAATTGGTCGCGCCAAGGTACTATTTACGAACGGGAGGGATTTTCCACATTTGTAGGCTAAACTTGAAATAAGAGAATTAACAATATTTCCGGTATAAGTAAATATTTTTATTATTTTCCTACTATCTGCACTGTCGGGCATGCCCATTCATTACAAATAGAATATTTTTGGCGGAAAATTTTTCTTAAACTTAATAATGTATAAGAGTTTGGTTTTGTTATTTACTTTATCGTTTGCAACAAAACAATAGTAATAAAAATAAAAATATATTTACCAAGTAAATAACAATAAATTGTTAAAATTATTAGCCGCAATCGTTTGAAAATGAATAATAACGTGTCCTTGAAGCTATTAGCCACATACCAAAATTTTTTACTTTCTTCAACGCAAATCATTAGTACGTTGTATGCAAGTAATTCTAATAAGCATTCAACGGTGGTTTTTTATGTAAGTACTAAAATATTCATGTTAATTATTTTGGCGGCTAACTGCATGGCAGAAGGCAGTTTATTTAAAAATTTGACTTTGCTTAAACTGTTTGTTAGTATATCGTTTTGTAAGGATTTAAATAATTGATTTTAAATTTTTAATAGAAGCAGTTGCTATTTTTTATGCATATTAACTTTGACTTGCACTTTTAATTTTACGTATATCATATGCTTGCGCATCGTAAACCTCATTTTTTTGTATAAGGTGTAAATATTTTTTGTTCACTACATATTTGTCATACTGTTTCGGAAATATTTAATTTTAAATTTTAGGCTTGAACAACTTGAACGTAATTTTAAATTCGGAAAAAAATTGTTACTCAAATGGAGTCGAAAGCGTGTACAAGGGATAATTTCAGTCCGCAATACCAGTCCCACTTCCGGTGACAAACAAAAGTTGTTAAATTTATTGTAGGTGGTTGTTTACATCTGGCTGGTAGAAATGGTAGAGTCCTATGAATGTAATTGTTTGAAATGCACGTAAAGTACCTTTTTTCGGCAAAACTCAGTTTTGGAACAGTTGCCAATGTTACTACCACTTTGTCAGTGTCTGCCTAAAACATAGTTTCGGTCGTCCACTTACAAATTATTTGCACTATATTTTTGTTGTTACACCTTATTTTATAATAATGGCTCGTGACAAATTTTATCTACGCAAAAAAAAACAAAACGTGCAATTAGTACAAAAAATTGTACAAACAGTAAAAAAACACATAAGTTTATTGAATTGAAATAAAAACATCCAACTTAAACGAAATCATCAATACTTTTATCAAGTATGTTATAAGTAGACAGCGGATTTCTGTCGGGCTACGTCACGATTATAGGTGGGGACGCGCTGGATCGCCGGGACTCAGTAGCGGGTGATAGATAATCACTGAATTTAATCATAACTTATTCCATAAATATAATTAACGATTTATTAATCAAACAGCTAAGTAAATGAGAACGGAAATTAACAGCAGAGTGCAACGAAACAGCGTTATTCTAATCTCAAATAAACGAAGTGCAGCCCGTAACTTCAATGAATTCCCATCCCGTACGAGCCGTACCGAGTTTGGCCTTGCCTAGCCCGACAGAAATCCGCTTTCTAGTTATAAGCTGTGAAACATTAATCCTTTTCCCGTCATAATTCAAACTACAACATTTTTAGATTCAAGGTCAACTGGAAATTTGTGAAAAGGAGATTTGCTACTTTGTGGTTTATAGTGGAGATCAGAATAACCTCCATATAGAAACAATATTTAGAGATCGAAAAATATGAACAGAAATTATGTTTCCAAAATTAGAAAAATTCTATCGCTGCTGTTTGGCTCCTGAAATAATACTGAACAGGAAGTCAAAAAATTTGAAATGTTTAAATTTTGTTGGTTGTCTGTATGCCCCATTTTTTTAAGGGATTAGTAATATATAATTAAAATAAGCAGCATTTACAAATATTAATATTGCATGGGTTCGGTTTGACAAGTGTGTGCTGTGAAATTATACTGAGTATTACAGTCTGGATAGAAAGTCGCTAACCCGATTTGTTCTGTTACTGTCCTACAGAAGATAATATGCTTTTCTACCTGCTATCAATTCATCTCTTTTTAATCATACCTATATCGGCGTAGGTTGATTATGATTACAAAACTTTGACATCGTTTTACTTCTTTCATCTTCACCAACAACTCAATGACGTTTCAGAGTATATATATATAAAAACACGTTTCAATTTTATTTTTTCATAGAGGATAAAAAATAATTAATATAAAACAGATTTATATGTGCCTCAGCTGCGGAGGATTGTAAATACCTTTTGATCTCTTAAATAAAACATACTTAATAACTAACTTTTAACGTATCCATCTTTTTTACTGTTTTAGTAAAAAAGATGGATACGTTATTTTGTCACTTCTAAAAACCGAAATGGTATTGTAAAATCGGAAATGCGATATCAAAATTTTATTCCGATAAATCGCTGAGTAAAAACAGCTCCCCCTGGTGGACAAGGTCCACATTAAATTAAGTCTGCAACCAAACCAGAATCTAAGTAAACCTGTATTCTGCTACGGCATCATAGCTCGTTTAATGGCGATTTCTCGTTTCAACAGATTCTGTCTTTTCGAGAGTTATTTACCTCAGTCGTGAATTTTTTAGGATTATAAATGGTATCAAAAGAAAGCTGACACTTTTCCCCAGGGGACCTCCTATCTCAGAATGCAAATCACTTCAGCACTTCTTCAAAAAATGCATCAATGTACCGGTTAAATCTGGTGTAAAAATTGGTCAACTTTATAATTTTTTTTTGTAAAAACTGCGGACTAGATATGAATATAAATATGGAGGTCCCCTGGACTCAAGTTTGTTAATTCGAAATATAATTTTTTTAAAGCGATATATCCCGTATTTTTAAAATGCAACTCCGGAAACCACGACGATGTTTTCAATGTATTTAGTATAGGGCGAAACCGATCCAGACGCGAGCCTTAAAGATCAATGCGAAAGATTATTAGTTAAAAAATAGTGGTCCTGAGAGGGGCCGATTTTTGGTAATGCTTCATGGTGATCGACAGTTTATTCTAACGAATGTTTGGTCCTTGCTACAACGATTCCACATTGTTTGTTAGAACAAAATAAGAGCAACTTAGAATGCTACTACCTTTTTACATTAAATGTTGAAAATGTTATTCTTGACTCGGAATACAGACTTCACTACGTCGCAACATGTTTGTTTGTATGTAAAAGAACTCCGGGAATTCGCTTCCACTCGTCGAAGTCCTTCGATAGTTTCTCGACGCAGTTGATTTCCATAAACTAACTGTTTCATCCAACTCCGCAGACAAAATCACACGGACTGAGATCGGGTGAACCCGGAGGTCAAACGAACTGGTTCATCTGGAGGCATTTCCACAGTTAATTGCTCTTCCAACGCATTCTTTAAAATAAAAACTCGGGACACTGTGCCGCCTTTAGTCTGTTTGGTAGAACATAAGGTCCAACTAAGCGGTCATTTACGATACCGGCCTATACATTTATGGAAAACCGTCACTGAAATCGTCCTTTGTGACGAGCCTGTGAATTTTCGTCGGACCAAATGTGAGTGTTAAAGAGTTAGGGCGTTAACGACATTGCTGTAACAATCATTCCCAGTAAATTACACGACGTGGAAGATCAGCGAGCTCCTAAGCTTGCACTTTTAGAGCATGGTATGCTTTGTTCTTTTAATGTACGATTCACTAAAAACTGTGAAACTAATTTCAGCTGCAAGTCGGCGAGTGCTGATGTCGGGCTTTTCTTCGACGCGTTCCAAAATTTGTTCTTCATCTTGCAGTATTCCTTGGGTCCTATCACGGCCAGGAGCGTGAGTTCGACGCTTGAAGGTACCTCGGAGATGCAAATGTTCGCGCACACGGAATCGCGCGATTTGGAAAGCGCTCGATCCACAATTCGGGGGCCAACCTGACGTTTCCATCAGCCACACCATAAAGCATTACCATGTCGCCAGCCCTGAATTGGGAAAATTGACAGTTGTTAAAGACGTTAACCGAACACGCGGCAACAAACTGATACATGACTGGACTTTATCGTGTTTTTGCACGTTGCTTGTCAGTGCGCCGATTTTTTGGTTTTTAGTCCTAGTCGTTCTGTGCCATTCATTGAATAGTACTTATGCTGGGTCAAGCAACGCTACCAGTGGCGTGTATAAGAATTTATATTTAATTTCAAATACCTAGTAATTTTGTCTACACATTACTACCAGTTAGGAACGTGAACTTTACACAGTGCAATAAATCTTATTGTGAGATATTCCCCTTTTTTTACTGCACAAATTTCGAAATCATCCTGTATATTCGATTTCAGATTCTAATAATCTTCTATTCGAATTAAGGTACGTTGAGCAAAGTTTGGTTAATAATAATGGCTACAAATTGGATGAGAGTTATCTTCGGTGTCGTTCTCTTCTCTCCTGTCTTTCATTTCCTAAACATGTCCCTTATGAAGGCGGACGAAACGTCGAAACTCTTTCCAAATTTGATATGGTCCAAACCCAAAAAATGTTTTTCTGTCATTGACTCTGACCGTGAAAGCATTCGATTCTATTTCGTTAAAACTATTGTTCGACCAAGTCTTAATACAGTTCTAATGATAATGTACTGTTTTGAAATTTCAGATATACTTGATTTATTTATAACTGCTTCTATAACTTGCTTGAGATGTTGTTCACTCCAGTGAGCTCTTTCAGTTTTAAGTGTTGTTGATAAACATAAAATGTATCACTATTTAATAGTTTAAAAAAATGTATTATTCCTGCTATTAGCATAGAAACACAAAATACTATAGTTATTAGACTATTAAACTTTATGGAATATACAGCCCTAGATTTTTAGGTTAGGTTAAAAACACGAATGGATTTCGATAGTATAAGAAAAAGCCTACAAAGCACAGTTATGTTAGCCTTTAATGCTATAAATAGTGATCTGAAGTTCCTGAGAATTTTTACAACTATAGTTGGCGATAATGAAGGCAACTGCAGCGACATTTGTTCTAATTTAGGCGATTTTTTGGACCTGACAGTACAAGAAACATAACAACATTGCTTGGGTACCTTATAGTAAGTGCAATGGTTTACCGTAATTCTCCAGTGATGTGGTTGAATGACGCGTCGATGTTCACAATCCCGACGTTTTGAAACAGGACGCCAGTAAAAAGCATACCAATTAGCGCCGGCAGAGTCGTCAGACTCATCAACCATCCACCGAAATGGGCACATATGGCTAGAAGGATCAGCTGGAATAGGTGTCCCCCTGGCGCGGCGGTTTCTCCCACGATGGAGTAGAGGATGCACCAGGACAATGTCCCAATCAGGACAAGAGCTATCATTCTGGAAAACTGCCTGTATGTGGGGCAGAAAGGATATGGACATATTTTTGACCAATGGGGCGGCTGCCACGAAGGATGGGTCTCTTTCTGTCGACACTTCATGCAGAACGCATACCACCACGACCTACAATACAAGTAGACGCTCTGTGTACTACACCATACTCGCTAATACATAAATAAAAGAAATAACGCCTTCTTGCGTCGAATTAGAACGTGGGTAAAGCGGCATGGATAATCACTGTTATTCAACTAACAATTACCCAGCAAGGATTCATTCTGATTGAACACCAATAATTAAATCTTGCTACTAACCTGTTATCCTCTTCATTGTCGCCCATGTCCGAAAACCTTGTTTTTGAATGTACAGACTCTGTGACCGAGTTTTTTTTGGCCCTTACGTCCCCATTAATTTGTCTACCACTATCTGTAAATATAACTTCTTTATTGTCTTTATAAAACATTCTCACACAACACACGAGGTATTGTTTCTTTACGTTCACATTTGTTTACCTCGAGTGAAGGCAAAAAAGTCGCCACAAAATGAGAATATCGACTGACACGTACTTTTTGTACATGTCAAGGAATTCTTGAAAAAAACATAATTGCGGTGGGTTGTGTGGTGACATTGTAACAATGGTCTTAACGAACCAATTAGGATATTGTGGATAATAATGTGATAGTGTGCAAACAAATCTCAAACCATAAAGTCGCAGAACTCTCCAGCTGAGGTATCTAACTCATTTGAATTATTTGTTGTTGAAATTTAACAGGTATTTTCTAATTACACCGATTTGTTTATTGTCAAACTAAATGCAGTGTTTGCTTAAATTCATTAAGAAACAATTAATCAACAGTTAAACCAACTGGAAATTCAAGAAATTGTTTAATACAAAGTAATGTATATCTGCTGGTCGATCAAACTACTTAAAACTTGTTTTTCAGTTTGATTCCTTTTTCGTTGTTGTATCAACAACAGTAAACAGTGTCTGAGTTTTTGCAACAATGTTCGCAACTCTGCTGTCATGCAAATTGATTAATGGTGGACAAAAATTATGATTCCAACCCTGTTATCATAGTTACTCTTTTTACTCTGCAATATTATTATTACATAGTGTTGTACTAATCTAGTTTTAACACGAAAATTCAGTTGTTTGTTATTTTTCATTTATTATCTCTATGTTAGCGATTTCACTAGGCAAGTGATTCCTTTTTATTATTTTTACCTGTGATTTTTTAACTTACTACGTTCTTTGGTTCATTCATCGAGAATAAAAAAATCTGTCAAATTTACTATTATTATTAGTTAATCAATAGTTCGCACTTTTTTAAACCGTTATTAAGTTATATAGTTATAAAATAAATAGAGGCATAAGCATCTAGATAAAAACCTACTGGAAATAAACATTAGGTACAATGATAATTAAATCATTGAGCAGAATCATGTTTTCACATTAAATGCGCATGCACACACCTTTTTATTTATTATTTCAAAGAATTTTTTTTCAAAAGCATGTTTTTTTTAATTACAGGTAGGTGTTCCATTATTTATGTTGTGTTATAGATTTCCTCTGCAGTAATTTTGTCACATGTTTTTACACTACAAGTTTTATTTATTAGTTTTAGTTGTCCTTAAAAATAACAATGAATATTAATAAAACCTTGCCGGAGATGCACAACTACAATATATTATATTTTTCACCTACGTAAAAATTTTTAATATCCATTCGAATTTGTTCTCTATGTTGATTTAACATACGTGCCTGTGTTTTTTTGTTTAGGCGACAAAAATACTTCTTTATTTTATTGATGCTGACACTGGATGAATTATTTTAAGCTTCCACTTTGTTGCAATAAATATTTTCATAGTTTAGTCGCTTGGAATAGGGAAGTCTTTATCTCGCGCTTAATTAAATTTCAGGAATTTTGCCAAATGAAAGGTAAACCTTTACTTTATTAATTATAATCAATGTGTTGAAGTTATCTTTGAAGACTTTGTAATAAATATTTCAGAATTAAACTACGGTTGGTTAAATTTATTAATCAAAAATTTTTACCACTGTTTCCTGACAGAGTGACATTCTCAACAGGGTGTGCGTTATGCAGGATGCTCTTTTTCCTGACCGGTCCTATTTCTGCGTGGTCAGAGTTCGCCGAGACTTTTCTGCTTCTTGGGGATTCGAAGCCGTAATTGTCATGTCCATGAATACTTTCGACTATGCTAACCCTGCGACTATTCTGAGGAGGAACTTCTAAATGGGAAGTCGGCGACGGTTCTGAAGAAACGATCGGATCCTGGTCGACTGACATGTTTGCTGTTACAAATACAGTAAATTATTAATTACGGCCGTAATTCCTCCGTGGTCATTAATATTACATGGGCACTTCCTAGTCGTCCTTAATGTCGTTACTCTTAAACTCTTTGATCATGGTAAAAGAAATCACATATTTCATTATAATGTGCGCTGTGATTCATGGGTGTAAGCTTTTAACGACACGTAGAGCATAGAAAGGATGTCCGCTAGCACCATTTATGGTTCAGAAAGTGGTTACATGATTCATTTATAAATTATAAATCGGTTTTCAAATGTATGTTTAGAAATGGGTCAGTTGTGGTGTGCGTTTCAAGGATGAGGTTACGATTTGCTTTTCAATACCGTAATTTCAGAAAATAGGCAGGTACGCGTCAAATCGCTCTCACGCAAATCACCAAGTGTTAAATCCACACTGTGAAGCGAATGTTTTTCTGCAATTAATTAATGTTTACATTCTAGCGTGTCTTAAAATAAATGTATTACAATTTTTAATTGGTGCACAATTTTATTTTATTCGATAGTAATGGACATATTGTTGACTGAAATTACCTAATGTATTTTTTTTGTTTTTAGTTTTAATACGAACGTTTGAAGAAATTTCAAAAAATTCAAAAAAAAGTGTCAAAATGGAGTACATTTTCAAAATTTAAGGTATTAGTACTTTAAATTTCTGAAAATCTGAAAATAAGGAATTCAAATAAATTTTATTTTTTATAAAACTTTGACTTTAGAGTTTGTTTTTTTATACAGCGTTGTAAAATTATATACATATTAGGTGTTAAATAAATATTGTTATTTGGTGTATGTTTGGGATAATATTTGTTTGTATGTTTAGTTTTATTTAATTTGTTATGCAACAGGTTCGTTTCAAGGCTGTTCGAGACGTAAACACAAATACTTCTTTTTTCAGGATATTGGCGATTTTTTTTGACAATTCATTTTTGACAAAAACTAAACCATTTCAATGGTAAAATACTATTTACGATGCACGAGTTCATCCCCTTCAAAAAATTCGTGACGTCACCTATTGTTACTTTTAGCTACAAGTGTAATTTTATTATTTAATTAATTAAAATTACTGTGTAAGTAGTTTGAAATATTTTCTTCCGTCTGTTAAAAAGGTCTTAAAAAATAAATGACAACTAACGAAAATCTTGTCAGAAAGTTATTTTCACAATTATCTAACGATAGTTTTCTTACGACTCGCAGCTCATAGTATACAAAAATTCTACTAGTTCTTGCTCTGGTATAAAGTTTTGAACAAAAACCGATTACTTAGACATTTTAGGTGTTCTTTAAGATTTTCGTGAAACGTTGATTTAGTTGATGTCATCCTTTCTGTTTTTTCGGGAATTTTGGCGACAGAAGCTATAAGTTTTGTTTGGTAACTTGGCAAACCTTTTGATTTCAGCATTACATCTTTTTAATTAGGCTAATTACAAGCATTAAACAATCTTAATGAATGTCGTAGTGGCTAAAATATTATTTCAGGGAAAATTTAAAATAGTATAAATGTACCTATATTGAAACAACACAAATTGCATAAAATTTAAATTTATTTAATACAATAAAACTGACCTCATATTGTAACCAGCACTAAAACAAAGAGGTAGTTGACATTAAATTTTAAATTGCTGTCCTGAAAAAACTTTGTTTTACGATATTTTGGAATTATTGCATCCACTTGAACAATTAATTTAAATAACAATAAATTATAACAAACCAGGTTTCTTTTCCAACACATAGCACAGCCATATGGTGGAAACAAATTGTTCCTAAATAAAACTCCGCTACCCAATATCTTAAAACCGGATAGAGACATTGAAATTTTGGAAACGCTATTGCTTTTATAGCGTCGGCGTTGTGACCCAAACTCATGTTTTTTTAAATTACATTCTGTATATTTTTTAGCGGATTTTGATAGATCATTAACTCGTACGTACACACTTAAATATTTATTTCATTTTCATATAAAACAAAAAAAAAATGATTGATTGTAATTTTTCCTTTTTTTAAAATTCCGTTTTCTCGGTTTTTAATTTTGCAATAATTCAACTAGAATTTTTCGTTTTTTTCTTTTCAACTTTTTGCTTTCCAATAGGTTTTCGGTTTTTCTGTTTTTCATTTTGATTTTCCACTTTCTCGAAATATTTAATTTTTCCATTTTTGAACTTTCAAAATTCTCAGTTTTTAGATATTTTAAATTTTAATTTTTTTCAATGTTTCAATTCCTCGTTTTTTGATATTTCAAGAGTGGAATTTTTGGATTTTTCATTTCAATGTTTCATTTAGCAGTTTTTCGATTTTTCAATTTTTAGAAATCTTAATTTTTCAACTTTTCGATTTTTCAACTTCTTGAAATTTAGTATTTCGAAATTTACTGTTTGAAGTTTCCCAATTTTTCATTTCAATTTTTCAATTTTTTAATTGTCCTAAATTTTAATTTTTCATTCTTCCGATTTTTTGATTTTTCAAATTTAGCGATATTTAATTTTTATTATTTAAGCATGTGTTCGAATTATTGTTCTATATTTCAAATGCAATTTTCAAATTTTCGTTTTTTTATTTTATTTCAATTTTTTCCTTTACAATTGTTCGATTTATCATTTTATAGATATTTTACCTTATATTTTTTCAATGCCTCAATTTTTCATTTTTTGATACTTCAACTGTGGAATTTTTCGATTTTTCATTTCAATGGTCCGTTTGGCAGATTCTACGTTTCTGTTTCTAGAAATCTTAATTTTTCAATTTTTCGATTTTTCAGTTTCTTAAAACTAAATATTTCGAAATTTACACTTTGAAGTTTCTCAACTTTTTCATTTCAATTTTTCAATTTTTCGAAATTTTAAGTTTTCAATTTGTTATCTTCCAATTTCTCAATTTTTCAGTTCCACTTTTTCCATTTTAGCGATATTTAATTTCTATTACTGAAGCATATGTTCCAACTGTTGTCCTTCAGAGTAAACACTAAACTTTTTATGACTTCGCTTTTAATAAGGTATTATGTATTAAAAAACTCATAGATTTCCAATTCATTTTCTCAATTTTTAGAAATCTTATTTTTTCAATTATCTAGTTTTTAGCTATTTCAGCTTCTCGAAAGTTAATTTTTTGAAATTTTGAACTTGGAAATTTTCAAGTTTTTCAATTGTTCAATTTTCAATTTTTCAACTGTAGAAAATTTCTATTTTTTATTTCAATTTTTCATTTTCAGTTTTTCGATTTTTCAAAATCTAGAGATCTTAATTTTTAAATTTTTTGATTTTTCAGCTTTTTGAAACTTAATATTTCCAAATTTCCACTCTGGGCTTTCATAGTTTTTCGTTTCAATTTTTCAATTTTTGTATTTAATTTTTTAAATTGCATTCTACTCCCTATATATTTTTTAATGTATCTTGATAGATCATTAAATATACACATTTAGCTATTTACTTTCTTTTCAGTCATTAAAAAAATAAAATTTATAACTACAAAGAAATGCAGTCGCCTGAAATAAAAACAAAAATATATTTTTAAATAAATTTTAATTTTTAATTTTTTCAATTTTTCGATTTCTCAGTTTGGCAGTTTTTAATTTTTCAATATTTCAATTGGGATTTTTAATTTTTTTGTTTTTTCTTTTCAATTTTTTGCTTTCCAATTTATCGGTTGTTCTATTTTCATTCTGATTTTCCACTGTCTGGAAATATTTAATTTTTTGACTTTTTCAAATTTCAAAATTTTTCGAATTTCTAATTTTTCATTTAAATTTTTTGTTTTACAATTTTCCAACTTTTCAGTTTTTAGATATTTTAATTTTTCATTTCTTCTATTTAGTAATTTTTCGATTTTTCAACCGTAGAATTTTTCGATTTTTCAATTCTATTTTTCGTTGTGCAATTTTTACATTTTTCAATTTTTAGACATTTTAACTTTTATATTTTTTAAATGCCGCAATTTTTCATTTTTTGATATTTCAATTGTGGAATTTTTGTATATATAAATACAAAGAAATGCAGTCGCCTGAAATAAAAACAAAAATATATTTTTAAATAAATTTTAATTTTTAATTTTTTCAATTTTTCGATTTCTCAGTTTGGCAGTTTTTAATTTTTCAATATTTCAATTGGGATTTTTAATTTTTTTGTTTTTTCTTTTCAATTTTTTGCTTTCCAATTTATCGGTTGTTCTATTTTCATTCTGATTTTCCACTGTCTGGAAATATTTAATTTTTTGACTTTTTCAAATTTCAAAATTTTCGAATTTCTAATTTTTCATTTAAATTTTTTGTTTTACAATTTTCCGACTTTTCAGTTTTTAGATATTTTAATTTTTCATTTCTTCTATTTAGTAATTTTTCGATTTTTTAACCGTAGAATTTTTCGATTTTTCAATTCTATTTTTCGTTGTGCAATTTTTACATTTTTCAATTTTTAGACATTTTAACTTTTATATTTTTTAAATGCCGCAATTTTTCATTTTTTGATATTTCAATTGTGGAATTTTTGTATATATAAATACAAAGAAATGCAGTCGCCTGAAATAAAAACAAAAATATATTTTTAAATAAATTTTAATTTTTAATTTTTTCAATTTTTCGATTTCTCAGTTTGGCAGTTTTTAATTTTTCAATATTTCAATTGGGATTTTTAATTTTTTTGTTTTTTCTTTTCAATTTTTTGCTTTCCAATTTATCGGTTGTTCTATTTTCATTCTGATTTTCCACTGTCTGGAAATATTTAATTTTTTGACTTTCAAATTTCAAAATTTTTCGAATTTCTAATTTTTCATTTAAATTTTTTGTTTTACAATTTTCCGACTTTTCAGTTTTTAGATATTTTAATTTTTCATTTCTTCTATTTAGTAATTTTTCGATTTTTCAACCGTAGAATTTTTCGATTTTTCAATTCTATTTTTCGTTGTGCAATTTTTACATTTTTCAATTTTTAGACATTTTAACTTTTATATTTTTTAAATGCCGCAATTTTTCATTTTTTGATATTTCAATTGTGGAATTT